GCTGCTGCTGCTGCTGCTGCACAACCCCAAAGCAATGCATCTTACTTCTCATTTGATTGAACACATATAACTTACCACCAAAAAGAACAAATCCTTTCTGAAACCGGGGTTAGCCACACCATAAGAATCCATTTCCAAGATGCCAACAAGCAACATGCCTTCGAACTGTATGGTATGCAGTCGATCGCAGTGCACTCAAAGGGCTCCCCCATGAATTCATCCATCACGCGCGCCAACCTTTCTTTTAACACACTTGTGCAAAATCTTTCAACTTACTGACATGCTCTTCCGGCTTTCGACCCGAACCTGCGGCGTCCACGGAAGCACTTCTCCCAACTGCCATTACCCGTTATTTTGCTCATGTATAGGACGTCGTGCAGGCAACACGCATTCTGCAGACGAATAGAACGCAATCCAAAGATGATATATGCTCATCACATCCAGGCGGGCCGCCGGCACCACCCACAACAGCTCATGTCCTGGGAGCAAGTACGTTACATCAGGCTGAGGTGTGATGTGTCTGTGGATCCCTGTCTCCACTCTATTGCTCAATGCCCATTTCAAGGCTAGAAAACGGTTGCAATTTCCCACTTGGATTGGCGTGCAAAAAAGACCCCCACAAGTCCGGTTCGACCTGCCTGAAATGCAGGTTTTGGAGGGGGGAAAGCCGGACTTGTGGGGGTCTTTTTTCGCAGGCCAGCGCAAGTGGAAAATTAGCAGAAAAGGACAAAGTTTTTTGGGGAGTATCTGTAGGGTCATCTATCTATACAACGTTGCACTTCCTGTTCTGCGGAGACACGCGCCAATCCGAATGAAACATCACACATTTGGGTGTCACTTTGGGTCTCACATATGTATCCTTCAAAGGCTTCGGCGATGTTTGCTGTGCAGGGAGAGTACGCGACCAGAGTGCACAAGAATTTGGTTGGTTCCAGGACGAACAAGGGGTGGGCCTGGTTGTCCTTTCATCCAAAGAAGTACATATATAACTAGAACTATAACTAATATTTGTCTTGGCATCCACACCTAATAAAAGAAGGTTTTGAGAAACCCAACCTCTACCCAAAGTACTTTCTCACCACACTAACCCCTGCAACAAGTCCATGCAAGTCTTGGGCATCAGCTGTTGGTGTTGCCACGGTTGTTGCAAATCTTGGTCTATTTTTGGTGCTTTTTTGCTTGCGCTCTCCCAGCCCCGCCGCTAGCAGGGATATTGTGCGCTGCATAATTGTGTTGGTCGTCTATCGCAGGTTTGATTTGGACAAGACAAGATTTCCTTCAATGATGAGCCTCAATGCAGTCGCGCTGTGTTTTTTTCCACTCGGCGCACGCTTTCTCAAGAAGGATTGTTGCGCTTTGGGTTCAAGAATGGCCCCACTTTCTTCACGTTCTTTTCTAGCGCCGTGTTATTTTAGGTGGTTTTGTTGGACACAGCCTCTCAAGATATTGCTGGGCTTTCATATCTCAAAACTGCAGGGCCCTCTTACAGACTTCTGGGCGCATCGGCAATCGGTTCATTGGATCAGCTCCTGGGCCTTGCGCAAGGTGACGCTTGATTTTCTGAAGAATGAGCGGTCCCAGGATATAGACTTTTCTTTGTGGTATTCTTTTTTGTTTCTTTTCCGCATCTAAGATCACGAGTGCTACTCTGCCTCTCTCCCTCAGATTCCTGCGGACGGAGATGGTGCGAAACTTTTTTCAATCCAAACACAGGGAGGAGTACCTCGGTTATGCATACTAAGGTGATGTTTGTCCCGCCCTGCTAAGAGGGCTTTGGGAACATGGTCCTCTTGGTATCTCAATAATAATGAGTATATACATCCAAGGTGCCGAGAAGCTATGTCACTTCTGGACAAGCAAACTGCAGAGGCAAAAATGCGGCTGGAGGCTTTGCAGGTGATTGTGTTTTTAAACACCTGCCCCTTTTTCTTACAAGAAGTCAAAGGATTACCAGAATACATAGAATTTAAACACAAGATTGCCGCTCAAGCCCTGGCCGGAAATCTGTGCAGGACCAGCGCGCCCATTATGTGAAGGCCGTGCAGGAGCTGACCCCACCGGAGAACAGCGCCCAATCTGCTCAAGGCGAGGAGGAGTTGGACCACAGCTCTTCAGAAGCCTGATGGAGTTCAGAATGGAAGGCGGCAGGCCTGCCTTGACCCAGTCCGCCTTTCACCCAACATTCAACATCCCGTCCCATCCCATATGAAACTGGCCCGAATGGGAACTTCAGTGCACGGTTTAATTTAGGAAGCTCTGCTTATGTGAAAATACAGTGTTGCAACTCCAGCTGAAGAGAAGGCTCCTCCGTCCGATGACAGGTTCTGGACCTGTTTGTTCCGAAAGGCTTCCTGGAAATCTTCCACGCAAACTTCGAGCACCAGAAAGGCATCCCGCGGCCTGATTTGCCAGCGCGCCAAAGCAATGTCAGAGCTACATCCCAAACCTCACACTTGTCGTAAGGGGCTACAGGTCCTAGGTAACGGTTCCTGTTCAGAACCCAACCACGTTTTGATGTTTGTTCTCTTGCCGCCCACCGCGCGCCACCACCCGCCATGACCGCCAACCACCTACCTCACACCGAACTTATATACAAATATATAGACAATAAAAATATATATATATATATGTCTGTGTAAACATAGTGGCACGATGGCCATTGATGACGTGAGTACCTGAAAAAATTGTTCCTGCACCTCACTTGAAGAAAGAAGACAGGAGCACAAAACACCACAAAAATACACAAATCGGTTGCCCCCAAAGTCTTGTTGTACTTTGTAGCGCCTTTCGCTTTCAACGTGGCTGCGAATACAGGTTTCCCTAAATACACCTTCTGCCGACAATATTGTATACAAATGCATGTGAATCAAGGACCCGCCGGACTAGTCACGTTTTGATTTGGATCCAAAAATAGCAACGCCAGAGAATCACGTCAGCAAACGCACCAGACATGAGATTCGTCTAAGGCTGACGGGCATACCCCAGGCTACTCTCTACCATCTGCTCCTTTTCTGGTTGCTCAGTTCGCCCCAGCAAACCCCAAAGGCCAAGGCAACATCACCGACGGTCGGCTGCGTAGACCTCGAAATGAAAAGAGACAGCGCAGCCGTGTGATCTAGGGCGGCTTGGATACTTTGAAGAGAATTTACGATGGTTTTGCGCTTGGCTATACTATAGACACTGGAAAAAACAACGATCTCTGGTTCCCGTCAACCAGTCCTCAACTAATAGGTAGGGCCAAGCATGTAGGATAAGTACACGGAAACATAACATGGAGCTGAAATGTTTGCGCGCACGCTTGCTTGTCTAAAGAGAAACCCAAGCAAACAACACAGCGCCGCTGCATCACAACATCGGAAACAAGCACATCAAAGTCCTACACATACCGTCTTTATATATATAAGTTTGTTTAAACATCGCAGGATCATGCATCTGAAGACGCCATCGTACATACATCATATAGGTATGAAAACAATCTTTCAACGAGAAAACAGAACACTGACAAAGTCCAATCGCCGCCGGACGTCTGAGGCTCAACAGCATCCATCTCGTTCAACAAGTCCCTCAGTTGCTCAGTTGCTGGACCAGCTCGTCAATCTGCCATGAACGTCCCGGTCAACTACACTGTGATGGCGGTAAAAAGCGTCTGGGCCAGTTGCATGAAGCGACAGCATGTTTTCCGGGTATCCTTCTAAGCGCTGAAACCTGTTATTGCGGCCACTTGGAATTTCGCAAAGCTTGGAGGGCCTCTATTTTGATGCCAATATTAGGGTCAGGGTAATGCCAAGCCCGGAAAAACAATCTGAATCCATTGAAACAAGAAAATCATACCAAAGAACCCCGGCAAGGGTGCCCATCGCGGGTTGGTGTGGCGATTACGAGTTCACTCCGCTCAAAGATCAAAGACCTGTCCCAGGGGTCAACATGGTCAACTATCTGGTCAAAAGGAAAGCTTTGTGTTGTGTGGTTAGGCAATGTGCTTTTTGGGTAGCCTAAATTGTTCTTTTCTGGGTGCTGAAACCCATTATTCCGGCCACCCGAAATAAATACAAGGGCGAAGGCGGCAACCACCGTGCATGGGCGCCCAGCCGTGTCTGACAGAG